GAAACTATTAGCTTCTGTTTTTTTTTTATAATTGATATTTATTAAGTTTTCAAAGAATAACAACAAAAATTTCCAAAAAAAAATTGAGAATACAAAAAACAAAAATAGTACATAAACAAAAAAGAAAAGAAAACCCAGCCGCAAGGGAAAAAAAGAGAAACAGAAAAACAAAAATATAAAGTCCTTTACAATCTCTATTGACTTCCTTTCTAGACTTCCTCCTCCTCCCCTCTTTTGTTTCTTAATTTTTAATTTTTACAGCAAATCCTTTCTGTTTTTTCATAACAATCTGTCATTACGTTTCCTTATTCTATTTTCCCTCTTGTCATATAAAAACTTTAAGACTCATAGCTTATATTCAATATTTACCAAATTCTTGCATCATTACCTTTTTACGAATCATTTACCAATCCTTACTTAAGCCATGTAATTTCATTCAACATCCTTCAAACATTTGTAAGCATTCCGAATATTAAAAAATAAAAAGGAAAAAATAATAAGTCAAATTCAGTCCAGTCAGCTTCCAACCTCCCCTCCCCTGGACCCGGGATTGTCAGTCCTTTTAACCTCGATAATCCAGCTCCTTAACCTGGTTGTCTCGTATCCGAGGCCCTCAAGTCTCTTTCTTGCCCCTTTCGCCACTCTTGTTGATGATTCCTTTCCAGTCGTGGATGCTCCAGCAAGAAAATGCTTTTGACCCTTTGTAGCAAATCCATCCCAAACCCATTGCCCAAGCCAGACAGCAAATAATACCACTTCAAATTTCCACAAAGCTTGGAGACTTCGGCTACTCCAATCCTCTGATAGCCCATCACTAGACTCGGAAGGTCCAAATAACCATATGGAGGGGGGTCGATCCATCCCCCATTTCCAAATCTGACCACATTTCATCTTTCCGAATCTGGTTTGTCCCAAGTTCATTTATCAAGTTCAAAGGCTGATCTTGCCCGTCCAAAGGTCCCTCCATCTCTGAAGCCTCCGTCACTACAGCAGGTTCATATGCTTGTATAGCCTTTAACTGAATTTCATTTGTTTGCTGCTGTGCTCTGGTAACTTCCATCATCAAGGTCGTCTCCTGACGCATCTGGTCCAGCTGGGCACTTAGTTTTGAAAAACCTTCCAGGAACAATTGTTCAAGCCTTTGTACTAGCATTGTCCTTCAAGGTCGAAGAAAATTCTTTCCCACGACAATAGTCCAATAGTCCTTCTCTTTTAATCTCTCTGCGTTGCAATTTCACTAAATTCCACTAGATGGAATATTTTTTTTTTAAAGAAATAAAAGCAACAGCAACAATCTTTCTTTTTCCAGAAACACTTTATCCAAAATTCCCCCTTTCCAAATTCAAGAGGCAACAGTAGAATCAAAATGTTACCCTTCTTTTAACTAACTGTCGAGCTGGATAAACTTCAGAACGTCAATTCTGACAGCCCGCTCCTGGTTCAGGGCGGTGGAAAATTGCTTTATTTTAAATTCACTTCCGCAGGATTGAAAAGTCCAAATACAACCCCCTTCTTCTCCTGCAGTCAAAGGGGGGGTTCAGAAATCTTAGATGTTGAATTCTAGTTCTCTTAGAATTTAATTTTCAAGCTTTAGTATATTTTGTCTTTGCTTTCTTCACATAACAAAAGAACGGAAGGCGACTTCCTGTTTAGACCTTCCCATTCCGAGTCCCAATTAAGTTCAATTTCAAGTCCAATATTATTTGTTTATTCACCAGTCTTAAAAGTGGTTCAACTCTTCCAAGATCAGGTACTCACGGATAGATATTTTAGATGCCAAATTGTCCAGGAAAAAGGCAGCGCTCTCCGATAACGGCAGTGCGGCTTTGCTGCACGGAGGAAGCAGTCGACTCACAGCACCACGCACCTCCCACTCCGGAGCCCGTTACCGGGCTCCTGTCCCAGGGGAGAGCGCTCTCGGTGCCCGCCGAGTCCCACGTCCACAGGCTTCTTCCGCCTGTGGTTTTTTGCGGGTCCCCGCTGCGCCGTAGCGGCAGGACCCAAGCCTCCGTGCAGCGGGTTCCCTTCAGTCCGAAGGGAATTCCGCCATTTTCCGGAGGCGCCACCCGGGAAGTCGGAAACTATTAGCTTCTGATCACAGAATTATCAGAGGGTAGAGTTGGAAGGGATGCAGACAGTCATCTGGTCCAACACAGGAGTGATGGCTAAACAGGACACCACAACTTTAATGCAGTTTGAAAAACCCAAGCAATGTACAAAGGGGGTGGGAAATGAATAAACACATTGTAACAATATGTAAAAGCAGCACAGCTACAAAGTGACTCATAATATCTATGTCTGACCAATAGCACTATTCTGAAATGGTTTGGGTGAATTATTGTTATCAGGGCTTCTTTTCAGCCAGAACTCAGTGAGTTCCTCTCAGGTAGGTGCCATTGCCATTCTTAGAGAATGAGGGAGGTGTTCATGGTGAGTTCTGACACCTCTTTTTCTAGAAAAATAGCAATTCTTCTTCTTCTTCTTCTTCTTTGCAAACCACCCTATACCTCAAGTCTCAGGGCAGTTCACAGGATAAATTCACAATATAAAAACACAAAATACACAATCAAACAACCCCCCCCCCCCAATAAACGCCAACCCAATAAACCACCCCCAAAGCATTTTAAAAGGACATTGGGAGGACAATCAACTAAAGGCCTGGTTAGTGAGGAATGTTTTTGCCTGGTGCCTAGTGGTTTATAATGAAGGTACCAGGCAAATCTCCCTGGGGAGAGCATTCCACAAACAGGGAGCCATTGCAGAAAAGGCCTGCTCTTGTGAACATAAAGTTCTTTTTTAAATTCTGAAAACATAAGATCATCGCCCATAAGATCATTTCACCCACCTCCAGTCTGATCCCTCTTGCCCCTGACAGCAGGATCTATAGGGAAGGGGAAGCTATGGAACAGGAGACGGTGGTTTCCTGGCAATGAGGACTCTTTCAGCTACCCATACAGGGTTTCATACAGGAGCCCCAAGCCAGCACAGCCAGAAGATGCAGAGGCTCATAGGAATTGCAGCCAATTCAGAGGGAGGATGCCTTAGAAAGTGTTTCCCATGGGGGCTTAGAAAGATGGAGATTGGGACAAGGGAGTCCAAGGAAACACTCACCTAGAGGCATCTGACCAGACACAGGAGCCTGCTCACCCCAGAAGGCAAGGAGCGCAACCAGGCAGAGGACGATGGACTTCATGGCGAAGCAGGTCTGAGTCCCCTGCCTGTGCCCAGAAGGCTTTATATCCCATGCAGAAGGAACTGACAGCACATTTGGAAATCTCTCAGCTCCACCCAGAATGAACAGAAAGCAGAAAGGAATGGATTGGTTGGGAAAGGCTGGGGAATCTGAGTGACTGGAGAGGAACCTTTCCAAGCCAGCACCCCATTCGTAGGCAGGCGATGATGACTCTGCTGAGTCCCGGGCGTGGCCCTTCTGTTGTCAAAATGCAAAGGATCGCAGAAATGAGGAGCTGCCTCCAGGCGCTTCCAAGCACCAGGGGAAGTGCAGCCAAAACCCAGGAGACCCGATGCCAGCCTTGAGTCTGGGTGGCCTTGTGCCTGGGGCATTCAGAAAGAGGGCATCAGTCGTGCCAAAGGGGAAATGGCACCTTGGCTGCAGGAGGCAGGTGTATTCCTCTCTCCAGAGTGGATGTCATTGCCCACCTGGGCTGCTTTCATGAGAAGAAGAGGTTCCAGGTGAGGTGGGAACAGAGCTGAGTTACTGCTGGGGCTGACAAGGCTCACACCCCTAAGAACATAAGAAGAGTCTTCTGGATCAGGCCAATGGCGCATTTAATGCAGCATAAGGTAAAGGTAAAGGGACCCCTGACCATTAGGTGCAGTCGTGGCCGACTCTGGGGTTGCAGCGCTCATCTCGCTTTATTGGCCGAGGGAGCCGGCGTACAGCTTCCAGGTCATGTGGCCAGCATGACCAAGCCGCTTCCGGCGAATCACTAGAACCTTCCCCAGAGAATCCAGGAATCCATCAGATTTCATAAGTCTCTGGAACACTGAATGGGTCTCCCACCCCTTCGGGGGGGGGGATCATGACCGTGAGACCAAACTTCATCAGGAAATGATCAGACCACAACAATGGGGCTAGTATGACACATGAACCCCAGTTTTCAGACCACCTTTTTCACACTCTCAGGCGAAAAACAAATCAAGATACCCCACTTTGTGTTTTGGGTCTGTGACATCTGGAAACACCCCTGTGTGGAGCTGGACTTCACAAAGTGTCCTCCACTAAAGGAACATTGAAGTCCTGCACAATCCACACCATGTGCCAGGCTGCCTTTACCAGGTTGGTCAACTCCAGCCCTCATCAGTCTCTTTGGCCAAACACTGGGTCAGGCCCTCAAAGATCATCCCAACTTGGAAAGGCTTCCTGGAGAGCAAGATGGTAAATCTGAGGGCCAATACACCCAACTCTCTCCTTCTTCAGTGCTCCAGCCCTTATTGGACACCCAGGTGGACAGAGCTGAGTGAGAGCAATCCCCTTCCCAGCTCATCTACCCAGGTCTTCGTAACACATGCCAAGTCAGTGCCCTCATCTACAATAATAGAATCACACAACTGTAGACCGTTGGAATCCCTTCCAGGTCTATGATCCTATGGCTCTACTGCACCAAAGATTCTGAAAGTTTTCCGAATGGGGAGGCATGCATAGATGGGTCAACAATCTTTCTGTGAAAGGGAAAGGGTTCTGTGGCACTGGGAGAAGGGGGAGAAAGTGCTTACCTAGAGGGCGGCTGGAGGCAGGTGTCAGTTGACCCCAAAGAGCAAGGAGCCCCACAAGGAGGAGAAGGCCACTCCACCACATGGTGGACAAGCTAAGTCTACTGCCCAGCCCAGAACTTACTTATATCTCCAGAAAACAGGTTCAATGGGGGATTCTTGAAGAAGGTGGTGAAGGAAGAAGGGACAGAGGTCTGGACAGCATCAATAAAAAGGGACAACCCAAGCAAGGTAACTGCCAATTTACGTAGGTGTCCCCCTGTCCCAGGAAGCAGAAAGGGAGCGCAGCTTGCCACAGGGGCATGGTCACACCATGTGGGGTCTTCCTTCCTTTTCTCAGCTTCCCACCACGTGTCTCACAGGAGCAGAGGGAGACTGAGTGTTGAGTCAGCCTGTGGTTGGTGGGGACACCTCTCTCTAGCATGCACATCCAAACTGACGTGTCACGCATGGAGGAAAGCCCCAGGGCCAGATCCTACACCTGCCTGCCAGGACTCCTTCAGCCAAGAACAGGGAGACTCACTTATATCTCAGAAAACAGGTTCTCTGGGGAATTCCCAAAGAAGGAGGTGAAGGAAGAAGAAACAGAGGTCAGGACAGTAAGTGGGACAGAGAGGACATTCTTTTCTTTCTAAGAAGGTTTTGCAACAAACGATCACAAAGCAGCTAAAGCAACCTGAACTATTTAGTATCCTCAGCAATCTTGGCCACCTCACTGCTCATCCCATCTTTGGATTGTTTGTGAAAAAGTTGAAAAGCACAAGTCTCAATACCGGTTCTCAGGGAAATCTGCTTTCTATTACTCTCCACCTAGACAGCTGTCTGGAGAACAGTTCCTTCTCTGCTCCCCCAGGTTTCCTTATGATACACCTGTGAGCCTGCAAGAGCCCCTCTCACCCAGATCCCCAGACGGGATCACACCTTCATGCCTTCCTCAGCCTCCAGCCTTACCCGAGGGAAGAATATTCAAGGCACCTCAAGGATGGAGGCAGCAAGTCTGGCTCAAACAGAGGACGTGGCAGCTCTTTTCACCTGGTTCTACCTGTGCTCAGGTGCTCAGGTGTGCCAGGAAGCTCTATAGTTAAAGCTCTCCTGGCGCTTTTCCATTCTTATCTTGTGAAACAAAGAAGCATTTCCCAAAACTCTTTGGACAGTGCACTTTTGTTTAGAATAGCTTAGAATAGCATTAGCCAAAATTGTAGCAAATAGTTTATAGTCACCAGTTCAATAATGGAATTGTTGTTGTTGTATAGTCGTGTTCGACTCTTCGTGACCCCATGGACCAGAGCACGCCAGGCCCTCCTGTCTTCCACTGCCTCCCGCAGAATAGGTCTGTAATTTTTTGTCTTTGTTAAGTTACAGGCTTGTTTAGGAATCAAAGTAATAAAACGTCCTTCCAAGAGGCTGGAACCACCCCAGTCACCAAAATATTGTTCATAGTATCCTTAAGTGGTTCTGTAAGTGCATCCTGAAATTTATTGTAATAAATTGTGGTAAGTCCATCTGGCCCCAATGTCTTGCCCATCTTATTTATTGCCATCTGCAATTCTGATATTGACACTGGTACGTTCAAAATTTGCTGATATATTGAGGAATTATGAAAAATGGTAAGTACTATCTTACCTTACCTGTCCTTCCTTTCCTGTTTACTGCCTGTTTATGACCTCCGGGGTTTGCTAAATGCATTCCTCCTTGATTCCTGTTTATTTAGCCTAAAATATGTATGCATGCTCAAAGTAGTTCTTTGTAGCTAAAAGGATTCCTCTGATCTAACTTTGTACCCACATGGTAATTTTTTTAAACGCTCAGAGGAAATCTGATAGGTTCTTACAAGCGCTGTGTTGAAAGTTCTTTTGTTAATAAAAGGGACCTGGGCCAGGGTGTGACAGATTATTATTTGGAACTTCCTCCCAGAGTATTGCTGGCCAAGCCTCTGTGTATTTTATTAATCAAGGTCCAAAGCTTCCTTTGCCTTTGGAATGCAACAGTCAAGATCAGCGGTTCCTCAACTTTTTTCTGGCCACTGTCTGCTTGGTTCCATAAATGCATTCCCAGTGCCCCCTACCCTATAAAAATCAGCATTCAGAGTAGTGGTTTGAACTAACCCAATAAAGATGATAATGGCACTGCGAAATTCAAAACAGTAGCCATTAATTGCAGCTTAGTTCAAAATCCAGTTAAAACTATCTGCTTTAATTAATTCAACCAATTGGATGATCCTGATCCAATGAGGTCCGCTTTTCAAAGTTTGATAGTCATTT